CCTTTTTCGAATTTTTGCATTCAATCCATACATAGATGTACAAAAATTATCCCCCGAAAACAGCTGCGGATGAAGATCAAACCATGACTGTTTGAAGCTGATGGAAACAATGCATTTGTCGGATCTTGACCTCCTTGTTTTGTCGTTGGTATACTTTATTTTGTTGCTAAAGCTTTTTGTTGGAAGTAAAGCCCTGTATCTCAGGGAATTATCCCCTCCTCAAGATGTTCATGGTACCCTCCCCAACCCAATCCGCAGCAGCAAATGAGCTTGCCGTTGCTTGCCTTGAAATTTGCAACTCCATTCCATCCATATAATCAAGAAAGCCATCCTCTTCATTATGTTAGATCAATTTTACCATGTTGAACTGAGGCATCCTCATGTTTCCCCCCTTGTTTCCCCATGGACATCCAGCTTTGTCGCTTGACCAACAGCCCACCAGGACACCCATCGCTTCCAGGGTGCGTAGGGCGAAGCTTCCAACGGCTCGTCGCAGAGCTTGGGGCCGCTGATCGCGGAGTGGTTCAGGAAGCTGGTCACGTTGCTGCCCTGCAGCCAGCACCCTGCGGGCGGGGAGGGGCCTATAAGGGTTGGTGCTTACCTATGAGGGGAAAAAATTGGGGGGCTGACGTTTGCCAACAAATGAACAAGTATGAAATGATTTACAATTTTTAGGATTAGGCTCTGTTCGTCCACTTTCAGCCTCTCGAGATCTCTGAAAGGCTGAAAATGATCCGCAAAAAACTTCCTCTGTATCATGGAGTCCTGGACGGCCGATCCTGAAGGATGAAGCGTTTCAGCGTGAGCCAAGGCATTGAAAGATGCCAACTTAATGCCTGTTCCAGTTCCATCTTTGATTGCTTAATACGAAAAAATGGCAGTGGCATACTCAAACTTGTTACTTTACAGTAGGAATTGACGTGGTACACCCAAGAATAAACCAGTCCCAATTCTACTGGAAAGTGAGTGTATATACCACCCCCAAACGGCACCTTGTTTGTGACCCAGAATCATCTGGTTTTTTTAATGCAGATTTCATCTCCAGATTTGCTCAAACATCACCCAAAAACCATCTAAATATGAAAATCTCATGTGATCATTGATAATTGGAATGCAAAATGTCTGTTGGAGTCTCAGGCTCCGTTTCGTGGAAAAAAATCTGAACCGGTTCCAGAAGGTGTACTTAAATTTTCAGGCACATGTCTGGCACCCCTGCTTTCTATAGGTCTAAATACTGTTGAAGTCATTGTCATAAATGTTGTGGTGAATGTCTCAAAGATTTTATGCCAGGTTAGGGTCTCTGAAATTTCATGTCAGATGTCATCACCAACTGGGAACTGGCGTCTACCAACTGGGAACAATTTTACCATCAGTCATGCCATGTCATTCCCTTTGAACATCTTTAAACGATTTGATACAATGTTATGATATATCGTTTTTCTAAGCTATATATCAAAATTATTCCAATGTCTATCCACATTGTGTTGTTTCTTTCAAACAAAAATTATTCCAATGTCTTGCTACCTACACTTTGTCCATAGTCGCTGAAAATTATATATTCCCAATGAATTTACCATCTGGTTCTTTAACATAGCCATGGAAAATCCCCATTTTTCATAGGTAAACCATCTATAAATGGGCCATGTTCCATGGCTATGTCAAATAACCAGAGAGTATTCTTGAAATTTATTCCTAGACCCGACCATCACATCGGATAATTTCGGATGGCATGGCCCATTCGAATTAAACACCCCCAAGAAACCATGGTTTAAGAGGGGATGACATGATGAAATCACATATATGGAACCATGCAAAATGGGTGTGTAACTAATCAAAAAAAAAACAGGGGAATGAGACTATCCATTAATAATCCATTTGATAGTTCATGAGATAGTCTCATCAGGTATAATGATAACTATCTGGGATGATTCGTTATAATCCCATTGACCATGACCATGATAATCACCATGAATCCAGCATGAAATCACCACCACATCGGTCACCTCCCGTGTCGTTGTAGAAGGTCCAGAAGACACAGAGAGGTGCTGAAGCGCACCTGCGAGTTACATGGGATGACCACAAGAAGCTGGTTGCTTCAAGGGGAAGCATGGAAAATCCTGGAAATCTGGTGCTTCCAGTTCTGAGATATACAATTCATGACTCATTTACGGTATTACATTGTATACATGTATATACACTATACTCATCAGTTTTGCCCAAAAAAATGTACTTACTTATGTACTCCAAATCAATGAAATCCATCTGTGAATCGTCATATTCCATGGAAAATCACCATAAATAAACTGTGATTTCTCTATCCGGAAATGTCCATCTACGATGGCCCTGCAAGGTGCCCCTGTCAGAAAATACGCTGCCGGACAGGTGTGCGTTGGATTTAACACGTTAAAAAATTTAGCCGTTGCGACGATGCATGACTCCATGGATGGGTTTAGGGAAAATCTGCCGGAAACCTAAATGGGTTTAGGTTTTTACAAATATT